GCCCCCGTTAAAGTCTATGATGCGTTTAAAATCCACAGGGATTTTTTTTTATTATTATTATTTTTTCCCCCCCCTAACAGCGCTTGTTTACAGGATTAAGCTCTCCGTTATTTGATACTTATTCTTTCTGTGCTTTCCTAGAAAAATGGAAATCGCCACTCCTCCGACGTCAAAGTGTATCATATACTGGAAAAGAAAAGTCAAGTCTGAATATATGCGTCTGCGGCAGCTGAAGAGGTTTCAGGCGAACATGGGAGCTAAGGTAAAGACGTAGCCGTGGTCGCCGCAGCTGAACCGCGTCTCCTAAACGCTTCGCTTGAGCGTGTCGTGCTTGAGCCGGTGTCAGATGGGCCCCGGGAGCTGATAAGCTGCATTTTAGTGGCAAACTGGATGAGTTGGAAGAGATCCTACGTCTCCCCACGCTCCATTATGAGCCTCGGGCCGTGCAGTCAGTGTCCGTTGGTCGGGTGCGTGCAGAAGTGCAGCAACAGACCCATTCCCGCTTGTTCTCTACGGCATCTCCCGGCTTGAGCCCCCCCAGGGCTGCGGGTTTCGGGTGACCTACTCTGCCGCTCCTCTCCTCGGCCCGCAGGACTTTACGAGAGGGCGGCTGTGATCAGGGGTTGTCAAAAGCCTCTGGCTGTTGGGTAGATTTTCAGCACACTTTTGTGCCAATGCTGAGTTTAATTAGCATTCCTTCTAATGAGCATCATCGATTTGAAATGCTCTGCCCTGCGTACGTTTCGATGCTTCAATCAGAATCTCGGGAGAGGTCTTTGTGTTCTCAACGTGATTTCTTAAATTTTGAGTGCTGCTTTCTCTCATCTCAGGCTCTGTTTGTGGCCAACTTTGCGAAGGTTCATGAAAAGACTCAAATTCTGAATGAAGACTGGAAGAAGCTGCGAGTCCAGCCGGTGCAGCTGATGAAGCCGGTCAGCGGGCACCCCTTCCTCAAGCAGGTCTGGAGGGGAGAGGGGCACGGCAGCAGCAAGTGTGGGCGAGAACCAGGGCTTTGCAGGGAGCTGTGGGGACACGGGGTCGGTTTTTGTGTGTGCTGTCCTGTGTCAGTGTCAGGCTGTGCCTCCCACTCTTCTGGGATGCAGAAATGGGGGGGAAAAACCCAACCCCAAAGGCTTTTCCTGTGAAGGAGCCCCAAAGAGCGAGCACAGGGTGTCACTGTGTGTGTCCTGAAGTGCAGTTTCCTCACTGCCCTTTTCTTCACTCTTTTTCCAGTGTACCGTTGAGAGCATTTTCCCGGGATTTCCGAGCCAGACGCTATACATGAGGACCCTGAACACGGTGGCGCTGGTGCCTATCATGTACTCCTGGTCCCCTCTTCAGCAGAATTTCATGGTATGTAGGAAGGCTCTGGGGCGCAAGGTCTTGGTGCGATTAATGCATAACTGTTACGTGGCTGTGGCGTGATTGTGCCTCCCTCAGCCTACTCGTTTCAAGTAATGTCTGCTCAAGAGATGACGGAAAGTATTGGTTTTGTTGCTCGTTTTGTTGAATCCCATAAAACAGCCTTGTATGCACGCTGTCTTAGCCAGCTAGTCTCTCCTTTACACCGGGCTCCTTGATAGCACCACCATTATTTCACAGGATTCAAGGTGTAAATATGTTTTTTGGGGCTTTTTGTTGTTTTTTTTTTTTCTTAAGATTTTTCTTCCCCTTTAAAGGAAGAGTTTTATTCCATAGGCAGGTCCTTTCCTTTGTGACTGGAGGACCCTGCTGGTCTCATTGCCAGGATGCTACTGTTCCTCTATTGTAGTAGCGTGGGGAGTGATTTAAATGCAGGTTTTGGTGTGGCGTAGTTAAGATTGTTTGTTAAACAAGCAGGTGGTGTGTGGCTAGCCTGGCTCTTTGCCTGGCGTGGGGTGTGGATGTCTTCCTGCAACCTGCAGGGCTCTCCGGAGCCTCCCGTCACAGCCCAGGAGTAGTGTGACACCAGCGACAGTAACGCGGAGTCGGTCGGTGGTGCCATGGCAATGAAGGTCCAATGTCCTTGCTCCTGTGGTTAACGCGAGAACGCTGCTCAGCTTTGGCTGTGTTCCTCTGGGGAGCGAGTTACCGGTTTGCCTTTCACTGTTCCCGTTCTGCTCTGCCTCGAACACAATCTCTCTGACGTTTTTTGGCTGTTTGTTGCTCTTGGCAGCGTGTGTGTTCCTGAGTTCCTGTAAGCCTTGGAGGCACAGCTCTTCTTTTTTAAAGCGAATTGCGCTTTCAGGCTCAGAGTTACGCTGCTGGCATGGGATAGCAGTGAAATGTCAGTGATGAGACATGTGAAGCTGCAGGCGGGAGGCTGAGCCTCTGCGTTGCCCCGTGCTGCCTGCGGCCGTGAGGGGACCGTAGACGCGGCCAGGCGGCGGATCGGCATGTGCTGGTTTTCTGAGTTGTATCGCATCTCTTTTCAGGTGGAGGATGAAACTGTTCTGTGCAATATCCCGTACATGGGAGACGAGGTGAAGGAAGAAGATGAAACTTTCATTGAAGAACTTATTAATAACTATGATGGGAAAGTTCACGGAGAGGAAGGTAAGCTGGGAGCAGGCAGCGCTGTCCAGTCGGTCTCTTGCAGATAACATATCAAAGTAGTTAAGAAGTCAAAAGGTGGCAGCAGTAACCAGCTTTTCTGTGGGAGCTCTTAGAGCAGGAAAAGAGGACCGTGCCTGCTGTTCTGGTTTGCAGGGACACAGTCCTGCCTTTCGGTACCCCGGGGTGCTCTGGAGCCGATGCTCTCGCTCATGGGGGCCCACAGGCGTGCTGTGGGATGCTGAAAAATGTGCTAGAGGTTAGGAGGAGCTCGGCAACCTCGTTTCACTTGCGACCTTAGCCAAGACCTCAATCAGTCTTTTCAGAAATTAAAAGTCAGCATGTTTCCCTCCAGTGCTGCCTACCCTGTCATAAAACTCTGCCCGGAGGGAGGGCAGCAGTGGGAAACTGTCTGGTATGGCCTGTCCTCAGATTGTTAAAAATGATACACTGCTCTTACAGCTCTTTAGCATTAAAATCCCACCTATGCCTACAAAATTGAGAGAGGGGTTCTGGTTGTTGACGGTGTCGTGTGGCTGGCTTGTGGTTTGCCACCATGAGGAGTGTGAAGGATGCGGACGCTCCCACAAGCTGGCTGACCTCTCTGTGTTTCAGAAATGATTTCAGGGTCGGTCCTCATCAGTGACGCTGTGTTCCTGGAGCTGGTGAACGCCCTGAATCAGTACTCAGATGAGGAAGAGGAAGGACACAATGATTCTGAGGTTAAACAGGAGGATGGGAAAGAGGAGCTGCCAGTCACAAGGAAGAGAAAGCGAATTGCAGTGGACGGTGGGTTTGGCCGCGGGAGTTGGGGTTGTGTTGGTCATGTTTCCATCCTGCCCTGCCTGAGTAGCTGTCCGCCGCTCTCCTGCCGTTGCTCGGGGTTATTGGTGTGTCGCTCGGGGCGGTGACCCGCTGGGCTGTTCTGGTGCTGTAGTCGACAGCAGAAGGGAAATGGGTTGTTCTTACTGTCCCCCGTGGGCAGGATAAGAAGTCACCAGCTTACGGTGTGGTGAGGAAGAATTTAGATGAGTCAGGTGGAAAACCATTTCACGGTAAGATTAGCAAAGCAGTGGGATGTTATCTGTGGGATCTCTGCTCTTGGAGGTTTTAAAGTGCCGGCCTGGCAAGCATCTGTCAGTAAGTTTGTAGGTAGATCCGATCCTGCTGTAGGCCAGCGAGGTGGACCTTTTCAACTCCCTTCCAGACCCATTTTCCATGTATTCGTGTTCCTCTTCCCTCGCCTGTGCCACCTGGAATTCTTGTTGCATAGAAGAAGCTCTGGTTTGTGGGATTTTCGTGTGTCCTGCATGACCTTAGGAGTGCTGACTGGTAGTTCCGTCTTGGTCTTTGGTTGGATATGGGCAGCACAAATACCAGGACCTTTCGTAGATGCAGAAAAGCATTGTGTGCAAATCCTGTCTTGGTAAAAAGTAGTAATAGTCCTTAAGAAATTGTTAGTACTTCCATCAGTACATGATGCTGCTCTGAAAGTGGCAGTGTACTGCATCTGGAAATACTTTACCCTGGTTGCAGGACAAAAGGTTTATCCGTTGTATATGGATTACATTTCTGTCTCTTAAAATACAATCCTGAACGCCTACTGGAATCGCTCTCTGTGGAGAAAGGAAAGACACGGTCACATCCAGCTTAACTGAGGAATTGTGTCTCTTCTTTTTTCTTAGGGAACAAGAAGTGTTCGAAGAAGCGGTTTCCAAATGACATGATATTCACTGCTATTTCTTCCATGTTTCCTGAATACGGCTTCCCAGATGATATGAAAGAGAGGTAGAAGATCTCTACTTAAGTTGCCTGTTACCTTTCTTAGCAGCAATTGAAATCTGTATTCCAGAAGGCAGCACTGTGCTCTGACCGGAAAGCAGAGCTCAGTTGGCTGCAGGCGCTGTGAGCGGAGCGATTTTTGAGTGTTAGAAACTTGAGTTTAGCCTCAAGGTACCTGGGCCAGAGTCCGACTGGCCCAGACAGTAATGTAGTCATGTGAAATGTCCCCAGTTAGGAAAGCAGGCCCATCGGTGGGTGTTTCTGTTTGTCACATAGGTACCGGGAGCTCACAGAAGTGTCGGACCCGAACGTGCTGCCGCCGCAGTGCACTCCCAACATAGACGGGCCGTGCGCGAAGTCGGTCCAGCGGGAGCAGTCCCTGCACTCCTTCCACACCCTCTTCTGCCGCCGCTGCTTCAAATACGACTGTTTTCTGCATCGTAAGTGCAGTCTCGGCCGGACGCTTCCCTAGAGCCCTTTTCTCCTCATTTTTTCCTCAGTGCTTCATCCCTCTGTCCGCCTTGCTTAGTGTCTGTGCCGCAGTCCCTATCGGGCGCTGCCCGGAGTGTGCCGTGGGGCCTTCGGAGCTGACAGGCGCCCAGAAGCCTTTTGTAAAGACGGCTCCGCTCGTGTCCTCAAGCGGATGGTAAAGCGACCTGCGTGGCCGTCCCCTCTTTCTCGCCACTGTTGAGCACGCCGTGTTCGAGCCTCCTGGCAGCTTGTGCCAGAAGTGCTGCCGCGACTAGACTTTGCTCTTGCTTTGCAGAAGCTCGTCAGGGAAAGGCATGAGTGTTTCACTTCCAAAGTCTGGACATGCCCCTGTGTTTTGTTGCCTCACTGGAACTTACAGCTTCATCTTAGTCATGTTCCTGCGGTTTGTGCTGCCAGAGCCTTTTGGATACCCATTAGCTGTTGGACCTGCTGTTTCCCAGGTCCAAAGGCTTCTTTGGAAAGCCACAGGACTCTTTCCAGTGAATTATTTATTAAAAGATGTGATACTAAGATCATGTGGTCCTTTTGTTTCAGTCTGAAAGCAGATCTTTTTCCTATGGCCTCTCCTTCCCAAGTGTTCCCCTGGTGCTGACGGGTCCCCGTCACGGGCTGGAGCGCGGTTGCTGGGAGCTGCTGCCGCCGGTTCCCCACTGCGGGGAGCTGCGCCGGTCTCTTGCCGACAGCCTCCGGCTCCCGCTTGCCTTCCCTGAGATCGTGCTGCCCCTGTCCTGTACAGCGGGGGGGGGAGACCCTTGGAGGACGCTAATAGTAAAGATAACTATTATTTTTTCAGCTTTTCATGCAACTCCTAATGTGTACAAACGAAAGAATAGAGAGACCAAGATCGAGCCAGATCCTTGCGGAGCAGACTGTTTCCTCTGGCTGGTATGTTTCTGCGTTGCTGCTTTTGAAACCCCGAGAGGAGTGGCGTGGCCAACCCCGCTCTGCAGAGCTCTGCGGGTCCTTTTCACACCTCTGATGATTTTTCAGAATTAGTTCTAATCCTCTTTGGATTCAGGACAGCGTGAATCCAAATACAGACCTTACCAGATGCATATTTTAGCAAATCTCCAGCGAAGACTAATTTCATAGCTAAGCAGATGGGAGATTGTGGTGACAAATGATTTCTCTGGACTCGGTGCAGTGTTTGTAAAAGCAAAGCCCAGGTTCAAAACGCAGAGGAAGGAGTCTAGCGTACGTGGGGAAGGCTGGAACTGTTTTAAAGTGATGTTTCAGAAATACAGCCAGGCCGTGCTGCCAGGGATGGGGGCTGCGGGGGCACAGGAGCGCTTGGAGGAGCTGGAGGTGGTCCGGGGGACCTGCGGGGCTGGAGCAGAGGGAGAGGCGGGAGAACTTCATTGCCAGGGCACGGGGCCGGGGAGCGGAGTGGGGGCCGGGGGCAGGGGGCCTCTCCCGGCCGGGCAGCGGCACCGGAGGAAGCAAAGCCGGAACGTGCAGCGCGGGCAGCTGGCAGGGGCCCGGCGCTCGCTGAAGTGACCACGAATGGCAGG